GTCATGTTATATGTACAATTTATATATATGCAAGGTTTTGCATCAATGAATGTGTATATATGTCAATTCATGACCCTGTGACAGTAAATTTTTTTTTTTTTTTTAGCTATGTTCTTGCCGTAAGTTATTATTGTGTGTTTTTGCAGCAATATCTTGCGAGCATATAGGTGAAATCTATTTGTCGTTTATTTTGATTGAGATCCATACTGTTTCTTTATTTTTATGTTAAACTGTATTGGTTTTAAATAAAATATAAAAAAAAGATATACACAATATGGAACTTAAAAGCCTGGAGTGCCAATGTCCACCTCTGGAGTGCCAATGTCCACCTCTGGAGTGCCAATGTCCACCTCTGGAGTGCCAATGTCCACCTCAAGAGGCGACTGTTGGTTCCCTTAAAAGTTTCTAGGTATATCAAATCAATCTCTGAAAAGAAGGAAGCATCATAATTGTGTAGATCGCTATCTATTAAGGGCATAGGCTCAGCATCCCACCGAGTTATAGCATTAAGGCCTCTGAAGTCAATAGCAAGTCTATATGAATTATCCCCCTTCTTAACCATGACTACTGGTGAGCAATATGCAGATACTGAAGGTTCAATGATCTTGAGTTTTAATAATTTGTCTACCTCTCGGTCAAATGCATCCCTAAGGTGAACTGGAACTGGGTATAATTTTCGTTTGATAGGATTGCCCGTCACTAAGTCAATCTTATGGACTACCGTGGAGGTAACACCTGGAATATCAGTAAAGACGTCTGAAAAGTTACTCACACATTGAAGTACTTCATGTCTCTTATGGTCATCCAAAGATTCATTAATATTAATGTTGGTTGCGTCCGAGAGGTCAAGAGTCACCAAGTCATGTAGTTCTTCATCATAGTCTTAGGTGTCAATTACGCACACCTTACATTCTTCAGTTGTCTTATCAAGTTCGTGTGGAAAAACTAAGTCAGTTATTAAGGCAGTTAACCGAATTTCTTCGGTAATATTTCTTAAGGATGATATGATAAAGCTTAGGTTTCCCCTTGACTTCTATGAGGTAGTCAACTTTCCCACAAATTTTTAATACCTTATGCGGACCTTTCCATGCTACTAATAATTTATTTGACTTAATCGGCAAAAGTACAAGAACTTCATCCCCTACGTTAAAACTTCTCCTCTGACTTTTGGAATTAAAATAAGTTTTGTACTGGTCCATTGACAAACTTAGGTTTTTCGAAACTATGTCAGAGGTCTCCTAAAGTTTGGATCTAAGGTCAAGGAGAAACTGGTAAGAAGACTGAACCTCAGCATTTACCTCCTCATTAGTCCATAAGTCATGAAGGATGGACAATGGACCTCTGGCCTGTCTACCATAGAGAAGTTCAAAAGGTGAAAACCCCAAAGAGTCACTGGGAACTTCCCTCATGGCAAACAAAGCACAGGGTAGGTAACGATGCCACTCCTTAGGTTTAAGGGAGCGAAGTTTCCTTAAAATGGACTTGAGAATCGAATGCTGGCTCTCAATCCTCCCATTACAGCTGGGATGATAGGGTGTGGTGAAGAGAGGCTTCACTCCCAGAAGTTTTTTTTTATATTTTATTTAAAGCAGTTCATAAAATATACATAGATAGTTACGTATATAAATGTGATATAAATATATATAAAAAGAGGCATTATCAGTGGCTCTGTTCCGGTCCACTAAGTAACACTATTCATAATGATTCTGATATACACCTAACTACATAACTAAGTTAGCTTCTCGGAGGGTTACCGGAATCTCACTGTGGGGGGCCTCCTCCTCATGAACCCAGGGGGCGGGCAAAGGGTTGGTCTCCTACCGGGGGATGCATGAGGGTGGGTTGGTTTAGGCTTCTTTGTTGTGTGGATAGTGGGAGGGTTATGAATAGAGTGGAAGGGAGATGAATGATGATTTTGGAATCTATGGTTATGTTCACTGCATACAGGATAACCTTAAAACCACGATGACTAAACCTTGGAATTTAAAAAAAAAAATATTTTTGATAATGTGCATAACCACACGAGAGTGGATATGATGTTAACTTGTCTATTGTTTAATATCGATAATGTGTTGAACCACACGAGTGGCTATGATGTTAACTTGTTTATTGTTTACTTTTGATAATGTGTGTAACCACACGAGTGGCTATGATGTTAACCTGTTTATTGTTTAATTTTGATAATGTGTTTAACCACACGAGAGTGGCTATGATGTTAACTTGTTTTATTGTTTAATTTTGATAAAGTGTTTAACCACACGAGAGTGGCTATGATGTTAACTTGTTTTATTGTTTAATTTTGATAAAGTGTTTAACCACACGAGAGTGGCTATGATAACTTTTTTAATGTTTAATATAGATATTGTTTTTACCCACATGAGAGTAGCTATAATATTAACTTGTTTAACGTTTAACATTGACAATGTGTATAATAACGTGAGATTGGCACTGGTAACTTTTTAATGTTACATATTGTTATCGTGTTTAACCACGTGAGAATGGCTAGGGTTTCAACTTGTAGTGGATAGTGGAAGTGTTGGATGTTAATGTTTACATAAGTGTATTATGAAGATCTTTGTGATTATATAACACTGTTTCTAGGTAGATTGTAGGTCGAGTTAGGTTATCTACGGTAATTTTGTATGTATGTTCACTCAGTGGACCGTTGTGGTACGAGTGTTGAATGTTCTGTCATAACATGTACCATTTCATGGTATGTTTATATTGCATCTTGTAATAGAATTTTAAATAAAATATAAAAAAAAAAAATTCAAGTTACAGAAACGTTGGGCTGTTATTGTATGTATAATGTTATGTCTTTTACTTGCGGGTGTTTCCTGCTCAATTTTTTTTGTGGTATGTGTTATTGCACTGTTTATTGTAGGCTTGGTTTGCCTACTGTTTAAGCTAATGTAATGTATAATTATATTTTTTTGAATGCTGTATTATATTTTGTTTACTTTGCAAGGGGTCTTATTGTACAGTGTTTTGGTAATTTTCTGTGCAGGAGCCATCTTGCTCTTTTCATTCCGTTAGGTGATGGAATATCCTTTAGTAAAAATATGAACAAAACATTCAGGATATGTAATGGGGTTGATGGTAGGCCATTGTATTTGCAGATGGCTAATTCATGTGTTATTTTAATTATTTATATGTTGTGCTGTATTTAAATAAAATATAAAAAAAATGCAAAGGCAGCAGTAGTAATGAAATAAAGATGATGTAAACAGTCCATCAATCTTGAAGAAAAAAGTATTTGAGGTGGTGAGTCCCTCAGCCTGGAGAAGAGTTCAGCACCATGGTCTGGAACGATATCGTTCCAGACCATGGTGCTGAACATAGTCTGGAACGATATCGTTCCAGACCATGGTGCTGAACATAGTCTGGAACAATATCGTTCCAGACCATGGTGCTGAACATAGTCTGGAACGATTCGTTCCAGACCATGGTGCTGAACATAGTCTGGAACAATATCGTTCCAGCCCATGGTGCTGAACATAGTCTGGAACGATATCGTTCCAGACCATGGTGCTGAACATAGTCTGGAACAATATCGTTCCAGACCATGGTGCTGAACATAGTCTGGAACGATATCGTTCCAGACCATGGTGCTGAACATAGTCTGGAACGATATCGTTCCAGACTATGGTGCTGAACATAGTCTGGAACGATATCGTTCCAGACTGTTTCTTTACTACTGCTCCGTTTGTATTTGATTGAATACGTTTATAGTGTACCCAACTGTTGCACATGTGTCTTAATCATCACAATAATTCTTTCCTCGTAGCTTCAAATTGCTCAATTTAAAGATTAAAAAAGAAGGTAAATATGGCAACTTTTATATTTAATCGTCACTACAAAACAAATCTACCAAATCAAATTATTTTCCCTCAAACGTCAGATTTTTTATTTCTCAGAAGTAAATACGAACCTCCATCACCAGCTCATGGCCCCGTCCCTCAGCCTGAATATAATACAATGACAGTAACAAACTCCCACATATAAGACCTTCACTTGACTCAGTCAAGTGTTCGCTGAGGATCACATAACGATATAAATAATTTTGGGGGGGGACCACATTACAAACTTTATGCAGGTCACTGTCAATGACTGGCACAGGTTCACCATCCCACCCAGTGATAGTATTCAGCCCTCTAAAAAAAAAAAAAAAACGATTGGAAGCCTTTATGCTTCATCTGGTTTTTTAATCATTACAACCGGTGAGCAAAATATCACATTATCAAGGAACATAGTTCCTTGATAATGTGAGTAGTCACGAAAGTACTTGGAATTTCTCTATTCTTTCAGAGTGTTTGTTTTGCATATTCTGAAATCGCCTGTTTACTGTGATCTTATTGCGTATATATTATATATATATATAATATATATATATATATATATATATATATATATATATATATATATATATAATATATATATATAATATAATATATATATATATACGAGGAGTGTATGTTTAAGGGCATAAATAATGCAACTTTACTGTAGTCGTTATATTAAGAAAGAGAACATGCTTGACCTACTGTGTACAGGCTGACCTGCAGTGTACAGGCTGACCTGCGGTGTACAGGCTGACCTGCAGTGTACAGGCTGACCTGCGGTGTACAGGCTGACCTGCGGTGTACAGGCTGACCTGCGGTGTACAGACTGACCTGCGGTATACAGGTACACTGCAGCCTTTACGATCTCATTGTAGTGGGTAGTCTTGAAACCTAACATCCAGATCCACCTGGCACATGGGAGATCACGGGAAAGGTAGAAAACTGAGTACTTAAAAGTCTACTCCGAGACTATTTGCTGGGGACTATCTACTTTTAATCTAAATTAAAGACTATCTGGCATTATCAAGGAGTATAAGTGAAAGCTAGAAAAACAGAAGGCTCTCTTCCCACACTGAAGCAAAGCAGAAACACAAAATTAAGTCAACCGTTTCCAGCTGTCCCTTCCAGGATTTGTAAATAAAATTCGTATATCCCCAG